CCGGCGCCGATCAGCTGATCACCGCCAGCTGAATGAGCAGACAAAAACCGAGCACGCCGCATTTATTGTTTTCGCCGTTTCTCGCACAGCGTTCCCAACAGCTTCAAGGTGTTCGATTCATGCGAGGAACAAGAGATTTTCGTAGTGCTGGTGCGCTGTGCCATGGTGCCATCGCCAGCAGCACAGATGCCTCCAAAGAAAAAAAAATGGCTGGAATCTACATGTTACACTGTGAATGTCGTCGAAAGACGATAGTCTTCTGTCTGGATAGAGTGAACAAAACGTTCATTTGATGTTCCGCGCAAGAAAATTGGTGGATGGTATTCTGAAGGCGCTGCGTTAGTGCCTCGAGCGTGTGACTGAGGTTAACAAGCGCATCTAGGCACGTTAGGCACGAGCGCCATCTGACACCTTCGAAAACAAAGGTGTGAGTGACCGCGGAGAAAAATGCGCGCCAGTCATGGAGGTAATAAGGTGTAGAATACAAAGCGACGGGCAGGTGCCACCACCGTGCTGTCGCAGCAAAGCGTCGGAAACACCTTCTTGAGCATCGCGTTGCACTGTCAGCGCAGCGCGTTTAACGCTACAGTCCTTAGAGTTGTGTGTGCCTCTTCTAGTATAAAGACAGACATATAAAACAGACATGTTGTAAGAGCACTTCAGATATGTGCAATAATTGCCTTAGTTGATAATCACACAACGCTGAACGCTAAACCTTGAGCAATATTGGTGGGTGCTGCGGATGGGGTTGGTCGTTTAGTGCCGTTTGAGGTATCGTTAAGGCGGACAGACAAATGTACAGACAGGCCAAAATTTTTCCGACGAACGTCCCCAAGAAAGACTATAGTCTTAAAAAAAGCCGATGGTGGGTGTGATCGTCCCTTCGATCGCGTCAGTTGGCCGGCCATGAAAGTCGCCTACCTCCCGAGCTGTGCTGTGACTAGCTGGAGTATTTCCGACAGTGGCACGTATTCAGACACGCTCTCGAATTTATCTTAAGTTTCCACAGCCTCCATTGCAGCCGAAACGCGTCTCGAACGTGGTGCCTTAAATCATTGCCAAGGCATGCAGGACAAACGCGATCCCAACGTGCTGCATAGAATGTGGTGAAAAGTCAAGTGCAAGACAAAAAACGATTCTGAATACGGGGGAAAGATAGTGCACAATTTTATCTTTGCTTTGATGGTGTTTATGTGGCGGCATTCACATGAAGCTAACTTTGACACTTTGCTGAAGCTACTGCGCCTCGCCATCTCCAAGCAAAGTATTCCGTGGAGGCCATGGTGTCACAGACCCAGAGGGACGCACTCGTTTGTATCTGGCGGCAAGAGGCCAGCGCAATGAAAAAAATAAAATAAAATTGAGCATGGCTGATTGGTTCCAGTAGCTTTGCGGCTGCAGTCGCGCGACTGAAAAATCGGTGAGAAAGCGACGACCCAAAGCAGTCGCTTTGCGACCAGTCGCAAATGGTCGCGTGACCGCTGCTAGTCGCCGGTGTGCACGAGCCTTAACTGAGATGCGCGAAAAAATTTGAAATACAAAAGAAAGACACCTGGACACAGCGCATACTAACAACGGAAACTTTATTCGAGAAAACAGACATATATATGCGGTACGAAAATACGTGCGGTGAAAGAAAATGATTAGGTGAGCAGACAGATCGTAATGATCATGCGCTTCCAAAATAAATAATAGAATTGTTAATCTGTCTGCTCATCTAATCATTTTCTTTTACCGCGGGTGTTCTCGTAACCACACATATATGTATGTTTTCTTGACTAAAATTTCGGTTGTTAGTGTGCGCTGTGTCCAGGTGTCCTCCTTTTGTATATCAAATGTTTTCGTGCAACTCAATTAAGAGGCCTAATCATGTTAATGGACTCACCATTCTGGTGTCACGTACTGCGCCGAAAGAACGAGAAACACCAAGAGAGAATAACACTCTCGATTGTTTATCTTGAGAAGTTCTTTTAGATTTTTTTTATATAAACAGGGTGAGGAAAAGGGACACAAGTAAGCAGTCAAGTCTCACCACAAGTTCCGCTCTGAAAAATGTTAAAGCTGCGAAAAAAGCTGAAGGGATGTATTTTATGGCTAGATTACCCACTCGGGTTAAAATAACACAAACGGCGGCGCCACAATCATCGCGAGGTAGCAGCGTGGTTTTTGACGGAACTTCAACGGTGCCGCGAACGGCGTGAGCCAGAACGGGCTGCACCGCCGCGCACAGCTCTAGGTGCATTACAAGTACAGTCTATGCTGCCTGCTTTTAGCCCCAGAACGCTGGGACAACCTGTTCTCGTAAGCTGGTTCAGAAAGCGTTCTGTTCTTCGCCTAATTATAATGTTTGCATCCACTGTGACCGTTATTGCATCTCGGACTCTTCCAACAAACCATTTTCAAGTGCACCAGCGCCACCAACGGGCGCGCAAACGCTTATGGGATAAGTTCGTACGCCGGAGCAGCTGCCGCGACGAGAGCGCAGGCCTCACGGTTTACCTTTGCGCTTGTGCTGCTCCAGGACTACTTAGACGCAGTGAATTTCGCAAGGTTCAACATATTGCTCCGTAATTCAGCCACGAACCGGTGTTCGGCTGTGAGGGGTTTCTCGACTAGTTCAGTGTGTTGTTCCACTGTAGGATCTGTTGAGGGGCTCAGAAATGTCACTTTTTTGTTTTCCTAGACATCAGTGCTCTACGACTAAAAAAATGAAACAAAAAGAGACAACTTGGTTGCCACTGAAGCACACCAGTGGTCTCAAAATTGCAGATGCATTCGTAACCAATGTCCGTTGATATTGTCGACGAGTAGAATTTGAGGTCCCAATTTTTGAAGAGTACTGTAGAAAGTACAGTCAGCAATTAATGGAAGAAGACCCATTCAAACAACAGTAAGGCCGTTGCTCACACCATATATGTAATGATAAGTGTCTACTAACCTGCATTGACACTAGTTGACATAGTTTTAAGGCGAAAAAAAAGAAAAGCAGGACATGAAGGCCAGGGTATGCACGCACCATCTAGTGCTCCCGTAAAACTGAAAGTACACGCGTGAAAAAAAATCTACAAAACATTGGAGCGCAGCGTGCGTGTTATAAAGAGGAACAAAAAGTCAAACAACGGCCTGTTTGCGGTCAAATAATACAGTCTAATTACTTGTCTTATAACAACCGCGAAAGTCAACTTGCGCAATGTGCGGCGTTATATGTGATATGATATGCTTCCGCAATTTTCCAATTTGTCTGATTAGATGGATGGTACAAAGCTGCTGTGGTTTCGAAGACTGAATCAGATTTGCATGACTGACATAGTTGGGCGAGATAAGACGACTTCATTAAATGAACTCCGATGCTCGCTGATGCGTGTTAATGCATCGACCAGCGTAACCGATGTGTACAAAAAGAGATAAATTTGTGCTTACCTGCTACACAATTGGCAAAAGTGACATGACTCTGATAGAATTTTTCTTGGGTTACAGCAGACTCCTAATACTAATATTATCTGGAATTTCAATGTCTGAAGTCGTAGTTCAGGGCTTCGGACCATCTGGTGTTCGTTAACAAGCACCGACATTGCACAGTACACGAGCTTCTACCATATCGCCTCCACCCAAACGAGACTGCCATGGCAGGGATTGAACCCGCGACCTTCGAGTCAGAAGTGGAGCACCGTTGCCAGTGCTGCACCCCGCTAGACCTCACTACCGACCCTTGCGATCGCTTGTGCACAATCGAAGATGCAACTAATATCATTTTCAGGGGGAAACCCAACCCTTCCCCTCCCCACTTCATTATTCACGGGTGAAGTACGTCAATATTTATCCTTATTTGCCGTGTGAACTAATTTTTGCCAACCGATGCAACAATATGAAGCCCAGCCTCTTTCAGGCCATCTATTTGCAGCTAAAAACTACTGATCTCATGTGAGCAAGTTTTTTTTCCTGATGCCGTACGTAGCATCACATCACAATTCCTCATTTCACAATATTGGAACAATCCACCGACACAAGATTAAACACCGCTTTTGGGGAACCCGCAGTAAAACTTTAAAACATGTAACAAGAAACTCCAGGTTATCAGAGCAAAGAATGTCACAAATAAATTCTAGTCCCATTCTCTTTTGTTTAATTAAACTTGTTTAGAATGTGCTCACTTCTTTTTGAAGCACGAGACTTGTGTAATAAAATATTAATCTCTGTACTTGAATACTGCAAAACCTCTCTGCAGTTTGGTTTCACCCCACCATTCACGGACAATAATAGTTGAACTTAATAACAACCAATCATTGAATAATTATGATTTCAATGTTCCAGCTTCCATTGCTCGTGGTGGCATGTTTTTACAGCATTTATGGGCACGTCATCAATTATTCGCACGCCGCTAACTATAACACTGACTGCATCATTCATTTCATATTTCATGCGTAGATATACGTGCAGGTGTGCTCAGACATGTATAGTATTTTGGATGGAATAATAGTCAACATGTAAAGATGCCTTCCGGTTTTTTTTCGTTTGGTGCTCTCACGGCGATAAGCAGCAGCGGACGACAGAAAACAGCCAGCGCGCTTAACCGGTTTCGAGGTACACTTCTCCCATAGTGCTTGGCGCGCCTGCGGACGCTCTGGGGTTGCTGGAAAATGGTCTATTAGGGCACCAATACAAACTTTGCCCTTACCCCTTCACCCCTAGTGAAGAACGTTACCTCCGTCTGTAGAGCCAACTTTGTGTGCGTGTGTTGGCCTAGCTGAAATATAATTTGAAGCGAACAGTATTGAATAAGCGCTCAATGTTGCGAAAATTTTGTAAGTGAATACAATTACGCCCTCAATTCTTTTAATAATCTATTGTCTACAGTCTCAGATGTAATCATTGATTATACCAGGACAAAGTTCTATACCCAACCTGTAAACACTAGAAAGACTGCCATTGTCTAAGAACTTCCTCTTCAGTATTTCTGGCCTGGTAATTACAACCAAACACTGTGCTGTCTTTCGTTCCAGGTCTGCCGGTTGGCACGGGGAAAGGGCTTGGGAGGATCCAGTGCTATGAACTTCATGTTGTATGTTCGTGGAAATCGGCGCGATTACGATATTTGGAGAGACCAGTTTAATGCAACAGGTTGGGGATACCAGGACGTGTTGAAGCACTTCAAGAACATCGAAACGTCGGAGGTGCCATTCCAGGACCGTGAGTATGGTTGAGTTGACTTGCTATGACACTTGGCAGTTCTGAAGAAAAAAAAAGCTTCGTCAAAATACGATCCAATTACGAATTTAAGGTGCTTCAAAAAGTTCACTTGCTAACACTTATGCAAAGCTTCGCTAGACCAAACAACCCTTTATAAGAGAGTTTTCTTAGTTAGGTTTTGCGAGAAACATAATAGAAAAGATGTATCAATATTTGATAATAGAAAGAAATGGCTACGTATCTTCATGTTCGACTGCAAATGTCGTCTAAAGACGGTACTCTTTCGTCTGGAGAGAGTGAATAGAATGAACATTCGTACAAGTTCGTTCTTGCAGAACGAACTTGTACATGGGCTTTTTTTCCCCACGAACTGTACGCGAGTGGAATCGCCTCCCTGGTGAGATTGTGGAGGCGGCGACAGTGGCGTCAGTCTTATCGGAGCTAAAAAACTGATAGCATGTCTTCCTGCCATATTTGTACTCTTTGTTTTGTGACGTTGCGTTGTTAGTACACAAGTGATGTTAGTACGCACTTCTAATGTATTATGCTATGCGCAATTGCATGTCATGCACTGTATATTTTTCTTTTTACCGCGTTAAACTCTGTGTGTCGGCGACATTCTCTGTGCGTAATATATTAGGAAAATGTTCAGCGTGCTATATCTATATTTATATGTTACCCACTCCTGCTTATGGCTTCACCTTGAAGCCAGCAGAAATCCTGCAAATAAAATAAAAATAAATATTTATTTGATGTTTTGCGAGAAAAGTTGGTAAGTGGGATTCTGAAGATGGCTATAGGTAAAGCGCGAGAACAGAACGATGACAAAGGGACACGAAGGTTGTCGTCGTTTTGTTCTTCCGCTATTGACATCCCACTCTAGAGTATTGCAAACACGCAGTGCAACCTGTCGACGCAGCTTTGAGTAATGCAAATCCTGACTCTCTTGTACAGTTTGCTGCACAACTAGGTGCAACTACAGCGTAAAGAACAGCAATTGAGCTAAATATTAGGTGTATTTGAGCATTGAAGTCTTAGATAAGTCATTTGAGCATTGAAGTCTTCCTGGCGGTCACCGAACCGCCAGGAAGTGCTTGCTGGTTCACTCGCCAGAAGGACAATGAAAACAAGAGCAGACGCAGCAGCTCCGTGCTCTACGAAAAAAGACCCGAGCCGACGCTACAGTTGTGATGTGAATTGCTACGGACTTTATTAAGGGCTTCATTTTGCTGTTTTCCGCAGCTGTCGCGAAGCAGAACGTCGATAGCACTGGACATAGGTTGTTGTGTTGGGTAAGCGAATCACTCGCGTTGTCTACAGCCGTTTGCGTGAGAAAATGTGATAATGTAGGTCAACTGTTATCGTTTTCAGCAGCTTTGATATTAAGGGGAACCGTAGTAACTTTGATTATGAAGCTTAACAGAGCATCTAAGTTCGGAGTGCACCGTGCAACAGTTGACAGGTGACGCGCACGATAAATATCGCACACGCCACAACTACCCATAACCTGAAGCTCCACAGCATTACGCCTGAGGACTTTCAAGCCTCTAAGTTCCAGGTTTCTCTATGAAATACGAACATGCACGTCATACAGGTAAAATGCAAAATGATCATGACCGCAATAAGTTTTTTTTTCTTGTTGCTGGTGTTCGCAATTGCCGGAGCTATCTCAGAGGCCTCGGTTTTGCATGTTGTTCGATATTGAGAAAGTGGGCACGCATGCATCCCCAGTTCAGCAGTACATACAAACGAATGCCAACCGTCAACAGAACATTCTAGCATGCGCAATAAAACAGTTTAATGCACAGGGAGTGAGATATCGATGGAAATGCGACTGCAATGACGAAAGTCGCCTGGGCAATTTGTGCCGAATAAAGCGAATGTTCGTACCACTGATCATAAGATAGATTGCTCGAGTGTGCACTTTATCGCGTTGGCATGATGATTATGCCCAAGTTTGACGCATGTAGGCGTTACAGAACGAACGTTTGAGTGCTTGCCTGTAACTAGATGTCATACGATGCTCGCTTGACATAAAGTGCCAGTTGCAGTTTTTTGCATTTTCGCACGTATAGTACCCACATTTTTCGCATAGTATCCCATAGTTTTTGATGAGCTTCCTACTTTTCTGAAGCGAGATTAGATTAAAGTAAGAAGCTTGGCAGGTCCTTCATTTTCAGGAAACGGCGCCTCAAGGGTGACGAAAGAGGGCTTATACACGTTCACTTGCGGAGGGCTCACTTTGCACTACCTATTTATGGCCAGCGCGTCGATCGGGGGCGCTGATGGCGGCGTCTTTCGCAGCGCCATCTGGGCAGAGTCTGACGTCTATACCCATCGTCATGACATACCAACTAGCCCAAATCACTACACTTCTGAGGGAATCATTTCACACGGCACACCGCAAAAGGCTTTTCCCGTCAATGAGCGGTGACCCTAACAAGCTTTCGCTGCAGGGTTCCTCGGCTAAATTATGTTCACAAATTAGGATTCTCATTACCTCACGCATGTGCAGTTTGCAATGAACAAGAAACAATAGATCACTTTCTTCTCACATGCCACCGTTTTGCCTCACTCCACTGAATAATTGTCGAGAGGCCGATGGGTATGCCTGCGATTGTCACTAAAAGTGGCCCTGCAAGCACTTTTCGAGCATGGTGTGAAAACGCTGCTGATTAGTAGTAGAGGTTCCTGACAACATGCCAGTAAAGCAATATAGCGCAGCACGTAGCCTGCAATTCAAAATAAATTATCGAATTCAGCTAAAATTGATTTCTTTTCTCTCGCCAAACCGCGGAATCCGCTCAAGAAGCACTCGTAATAAGCCCTTCTATCAGCCATTGGCTGATTTGAACATGGCGCGCTCGGTCGTTACAGAGATCGCCGCGAGAGGCCGAAACTTGTCTACTCATGCGAGCGCTATCGCACTGAGATAGCTGCGCATTCGACGAAAAAAAAAAAGGAAAAGTGCTCAAGGTTACGAGACGTGCGTGGCGTTTTTCTTTGCGCCTGCCATGCCTTCCTGATTAGCTTCCAGTACTTTCGTCGGGTAGAGAAAATAGAATGCAACGGTGGCATCCAACGCATTTTTGTAACTCTACTAGCACTGGAAGGATGTTGAAACTTTTGCGGCGTTCAACTCGTGGGGCAATAAGCTTTTCCAGTGAATTCGTTTTATATTTACTTTAAAAAGTGTTTCAGGGCCTCTTTAATGCCTCCACCCTCTTAATCTCTGGAGGCACTCAGTTGGGTGCGGGCAGTAGTGCTATTCTGTCCGCACTATATAAATTCATTCAAGCAACTAAAAGGATACGTTGCTAGTAGTACTTCCAGGTGAATCTAATTCTGTGCCCCCTTTCTTTTTTGCTATATTTTAAAATCTGATTTGTCGAATCGTTTTGCCCTTTTGATGTTCTTGTTTGAATGCACGTTATTATTCATCTCGTATTTATCGGATATACATCTTTTACCAAGCATAGTATTGAAATTTATGCAATAAGGTGCAGTGCGGCCAATCCCTCTTGTGCGTATGAGCGAAGATCTTTAGGTGACAAACAAACGGATCTTGAAAAGAGGGAACGCGTTTTTCATAGCAGTGAACATGCGACCGCAAAGAATGACGTTGCACTGATGTTTTCTACACCCGAAATATGGGTGGGCTGTGCACAAGTGTCACTGGAAAGACAGGAGTGAGCAGTGGTTGGAAGGAAAACGCTAGTTTCACGATGTGCAGCGTCTATGGTGTATTACACTCGCCTCTTACGATCGCTCCAAAGTAGTCCAGACGAACTGTGCCAATAATAAGCACATGCTTGTGAATCGCAATTTGCTGCCAGCTACACAAGAGGGTGTTTGTCCTAGCGCTGCAGGAGCTGAGGATGCGTGCCGTTTGTCAGCGATTTTTTCAGGTTTGGCGAGGAAATATAATGAAATAGAAAGGGGCATTTTTCATCCTTTTGCACCAGCAGTTGGTCGCTGAAATATTGTCAGTGAACGTTCGGAGTATGCCACTGATAAGTTTATGATCTTATGAAGCTGAAATTTTACTAGATATTGCAAGTATTAGGATCTGGTTAGAATTAAGATTTCGTCAGTGCACGTCGGGTGCAGCATTTTAGATTTATGTTTGCGTGGTTAGTGTTGTGGCGTATGACGCATGCCAAGGTGTGTTTTCGCAATGCCTTCTTGTCATAGGATTTTGCTGTAAGTCGAGCTTTATCATGTGCGTCTTTTCTTCGGCTCGCATTCTAAATACGCTGGAATTCTCAGGCATTCTTTAACAGTTCTTGTGAAATGACTTTCCGAAAATGTACAAACACAATTTCTTTTTTTTAAAACGCAGAAGAATATCGTGGCACATCTGGAGAAGTACCTGTAACGTATGCGAGGTTGCAGACTACGCTGAGCACTTCCTTCTTGTATTGGTGCTTGAGTAACGGCTACAAAATCACCGACTACAATGGAAAGATCCCAGGCTGGTGAGCTCCTTTCTATGTTGATATTACGGAGGTTTTCGAAAGAACTACCGTAAGTTTAGGATTGTTCTATCTGTGACATTCCAATGCTACAAATGACCGTGTTATACTTGACGACATACATGGTTACACGCTTAAAGGTTTACTAAAGGGAAAATGAATTTCCTCGTATTAGTAAAGCACTGTTCCACAATCGCGGAAACGCCACTTTTACCGCGAGACGACTCTTGATAAGCGAGAAAAAAGCGCGAAAATAAAAGGTGGTGCAGACGTCACCATTAGAATTCCGCACAAAGCACTGTGATGCTGAAGATTTTAAGGGTGTGTACTGGGTCCAATGTTCCATTTAATTTATAGATGAAGTTCATTTTCATCCGTTGGTGCCGCAGACCCAGCGTGCGAGAATTAAAAAAATACATTTCGCCAATGTCGCGAAAATACAAAAATGCGTTTGGAATTAGTTAGGTCACGCGCGGGCAAACTTCCATGTGAAATTTAGAATGGAAACATCAGCCTTCATTCTATCTGCAAATAATGAACCTTCTATAGGGAAACGTGTGACATTAGAGCACCTAGTTCATTCAACTAAGCCAAGTCAATGTTGCGCGTCAGTGTACCCTTAAACATTTACCGTTCTCATTTACTTCCCATTTCCCCTCACGTTTCTTTGTCCACATTGTGGGGAAATAGCTTCATTAGAACACATGCTCTGGCAGTGCACCAAATTCGCTCATTTATCGCACATCACCTCTGCCAGATGGGAGGCGGCAATCCGCAGCTCATCCTTGGCAGATCAGCTCTGGGCTGTCCACCAAGCCCGCGAGGCGGCTGAGGAGCTTGGCATCTCAGTCCCCACGTGGGAGCTGCCCGCAACACAGTGATCTGTGTTTTGGAGGACCAAATAAAAGTTTATCCAATCCAATCCAATCCCCTCACGTTCCTCCTGCGTACTTTCTCGCGGCCATAGTAAATATGGTTATGTTATACATATATTGTACGGCCTGCGTGGCGCCATACTCGGCTGTACTGTGTTTTATCTTCTCTTTTGCTCCTTACCTTCCTACTAAGCCACACTTCTTTCCCATCCCCTTGATAGACATACCTATGTGTTATGCGGTTGGACTGCTCGGAGCTTAGCGACAAGATCAGACAGCATAATCACTTCGTCTTTCTCATCCTGAGCCTCACATATTACCTTTCTCACCAGGTTGCTAGATATGCCTTTCTGTAACTCGTTGTGCTACATATAGTTCTGTCTACGCAAGGCCTCACATGGCTGCTCTATCCTATTATTCTCCACCTCAAGCTTACTGCCCCTTTTCGCACTTTTACACTACCGTGCTATATATGGCTATGCTCTGGTTTTTCTACCGTGACATCATACATGGTAATCCTCTGCTTTAGCATCCCCTATAATTTCTTACTTTTCCTCACTATTTCTCTTTCCCGCTCCGTTACGCTAAGATATTATACATTGTTTTTACGGGTACCTGCTTGGGCGAGTCGGCCGCTGTTTATTGTTACCTCTTTTTCGCACACGCTAAAAGACGAATATTTGAGAGAAAGGGGAAGACGGATGCAATCACAAACTTTCAACTAAGATTATTGCACGGACACTGGACGAATTTATGCAATCACGTTTCATGGTTAGAAAAATGAATTACAAAAAAATTGAGCAGAATAATTCTAATGACCACTCGTAACGAGAATGGATGCACCTATCGAACATCTTGCATTACGGATTCTGATACACCATATATTTCTGCGGTAGTTCTAAGAAAGTCATACTGACGCAGTTCTCTTCCGTCTAATCTTTCCTCCTAAATGTTGGTCGTTTAAGGTGGGCGCAATAACGTAACAATCAAGTGTGCACGGCTTTGAGATAAGCAAATCAAAGCAAAGAAAAGTGGGCCATTAGGGTTTGCTTATACCGCTGCGTGTTTTCATCTGTAGGTTAGTATCTTGATCTTGGAGTAAGCATGACTTCCTTACACATAATTTCGAACTGTATGACGTTAGACATTGCTATGTTATGCTTTGCTATGCTTCGTCTCCTCCTCGCATTTTACCCACACTATCACACTATATAAGGCAATGTGTTTTGCGTGCATGCGCCATACATTCTTCAGCTGTGGTATACACTCCCCTCCTTTTCTCCTCTAATTTACACCCTCTCTACATTACATAACGCTGCCTACGGGAGACCATACGTTGCTGTGGACGGTCATTTACCCCCCTTTTAGTCCTCAGTATTCTCGCTTTTCTTTTCGCACCCTTACATTTGGAAGGCTAATGTAAACAAGGTTTTTCGTGTATGATACCATATATGGTCCTGCTATGCTTCAGTTTCCCTCATTCATTTCTTTACCCCCTACTTTGCAATTATCCACACCCTCGCTTTCTATTTGCGGCCTCTTTCGTATACCCAGTAACGCTATTTCGGTTTTCCTTGCGCGGCGCTAAGTAGTGGTATGAGTTGGCAACGCACGGTGACAGTATGCTCTTCCTGCCCTTGCTCCTCACAGGCGCTCTGCTCCGCTATTATAAAACGATGATAGAACACGGCAGTGCACAATGACCGCATGCGACAAACTTGCGCCCCGCACTTTCAAAATTTGACAGGTTCTACGTTTTGTGACAATCTGTTTTGTGCTAAGCAGTCGGCAAGTAGCCGCCTCTGCTGACGTTTTTTGGCTTTGTGATACGCCTTACTTGGCAGATTGACGTATTTTTTCCGAGTGTTGTAGCGTGCACATCGAAGGTTGACCAGGTAGTTGTAGGAGTTGCGTTCTTCGGCATTTTTATTTCACCGCTGAACTTGGGTTGTAAAAATTACGTTTAGTTATGTACCTGAGGCCATTTTTTTGGAATCTCAAAGCTGAAATGGCTTCTTCGCATGAAGGGCTTCCTTTCTTTGATTTAACGTAGTTGCAACACTGTACTAGTTAAAAAAGATCGGCTGATTCAGCACCTCATGCGAATTGGTTTCACACTGAGAAAACAAGTAATGCCCTAAGCAAATTTTTGAAGGGGCTTAGCGGCAAGTGTTCCGACGTCGATCGACAACAAGTGCAGTAGTTTTGTGCACATCTTTGGCTTAGCAGACTCTTTCAGACTCTAGCGTCTACTTGCGACTAAACTGGGTAAGGTATGGTGTAATAAAGCGTCAGCACTCACTTAAGATCACAGGTGGGAGCATTACTGCCACGCAGTGCGTTTTACGGTGTGACGATGGGAATATCACTCGTGAATTTCGTTGGCGTATTGCCACGGTTTTGAGAAAGGTTCTCTAGTTATGCCGAATCTTATAAGCTTGAAGACATAGAGGTGGGTGCTGGGGCCTGGAGCCACCATTTTAACAAGAGGACTCTTCGTTTTCATGGCTGCAAGGGAATTTGTTAGCGCTTATTTGGGCCTGCTTTTTGCCCTCTTCTTCATCCTAACAAGGAAGAGAGAGAGGGCAAGCAACGTAGCAAAGAAATAGGTGTGGAGGCAATGTAATGTATTGAGTATAACCCATACTCTTAGGACAGCTAAGTCAACAGTCTTTATATCCCTTGCTGCACCGCATCTCGGCTCTCAATATGAAAGAAATCCGTTTCTTCATAATATCAAAAGTTTGGTATCACTTGCATATTCTCATTGTAGTTGTCTTTTTTTTCACAGCAGCTGGCAACTCACTCTCTATCACCATTACAACCACCTTTGAAACTTCTGAGTCTTTTACAATCATGAGTTATGTATGATACATTTATCTGAGTAAATAAGTACTCGATACGGCTGTCCGGTAAAGAGTACGATTTTACCCGAAACACTGTCAACGCTTTGTGCATATTTGACACTAATGATTCATTTAAAACAGCGTTATCATAAGTTATTAGTTACCATGATTACATGAAGCTGCGTTATTGTACGAATGACTATATGCAAAGTTTTGTGAGTGAAGGATATTTAGTATGCTTCTTCGAAGGCATCGTAGTCGTGTTGCCTCTCACACTACTTGCGGAAATATGGTGTAACTTCTCAACGCTGTAGATGCCTTCACTAAAATGTACCAATTAAGCTTAGATTCTGCGTATAATAACGAGTTATATTGCAATATACGATGCTACGATGCATGTTCTTCTTTACAGGCTGCTCCAGAGTGCAGGCGAACATAAAGAATGGCCAGCGCTGGAGCGCTAACAAGGCTTTCATTGTGCCTATTTTATTCAGAGACAATTTGCACATTTCGATGCTGAGCCATGCTACAAAGGCAAGTTGAAAAGTTACCATGCAAACTTTATGCAATAGCAGATGTTCAAAGTAAAGAAGTGGGGCATGGCCCCGCCGCGGTGGTCTAGTGGCTAAGGTACTCGGCTGCTGACCCGTAGGTCACGGGTTCGAATCCCGGCTGTGGCAGCTGCATTTCCGATGGAGGCGGAAATGTTGTAGGCCCGTGTGCTCAGATTTGGGTGCACGTTAAAGAACCCCAGGTGGTCGAAATTTCCGCAGCCCACCACTACGGCGTCTCTCATAATCAAATGGTGGTTTTGAGACGTTAAACCCCACATATCAATCAATCAATCAAGAACGGGGGCAGGTGCTTGGGGGATGCGCGACGGACGTTGAGAAAGAAGTAGGAAGGCGGAGCTAGCCCTGAGGGAATAAATATCGTCGTTCAGAGCCACGACCATGGATCCTTGTTCTTTACAGCAAATGAATTTAAGACCTATAGCCGAGAGCGCTGCCACAGCAGTGGGTGCTGGGAGGGGGGGGGCGGCGAGTTCTTGAAGCCACTTTCCTACCAAAACTTTTCAATTACACACGTGCATATTACACGAACACGTACTCAGGGTCGCGGAACGGGTGCCTAAATTATATTCCTATTATATTCCGGAAAATAAGAATCAGCCTCAGTTTCGTCTCTTACAAGTATGAAAAACTTAGCCCATTGCCGCTAATACAATGGTCAAGCGGGTCTATTTCATACTTGTTTTTGTCAACGTGGGATAATAATTTTGATAGTTTCACCTAAGTAAAAAAGATACGCTATAAAGCTGATGCTATTCATGCATTAAGAATGGCGAAACACGTTGCGTAGGTCAAGATTTGCAAACTTCTTTGAAAAGCTGGGTGACCTTATGTTAAAAATATTCTCTTATCACAATAAGATATAGAAAGCTATACAGACGTTTCCCTATGCAGATAGCATCGTCAATATGCACTGTCACCAATTAAGCGAAGGTCGAAGGTAATCCAGTGTACTTTTAGTCTCGTATGTCTCTGTACGCATCCGGTAGGGGACCGCGGTTGTTGTTATCCGCCTTGTTCCGGCGGAATGAACCACGTGCTAGAAGCTTCCTCTTGCCCCACCTTTGTTCCTGCGATACCACATTACATTAGCGAAGTAGGGCAAGAGGCGGTCAACAAAGCTCAGAGCACAAAAGCGACGTCAGAAAAGCCACCAATGCCACATATCCCTAGACCGAACTCGTCGAACACTGCTGGACAACAGGGCTTGCCTTCGACTTCAGTAATGTGACGACGCTGTCTGGTAAACAAAGGTGGGGCAAGACAAAACTTATCGACTCGTGGTTCATTCACCACGATAAGCCGGCTTGCAACAATCGCGGCCCCCTCCGGATGTGTATAGAAACTTACATACGAGGCTAGAAACAGGCTAGGTCCCCTTCGCTCATGTGGTGCCAATGAATTTGGAGGATGCCACCTGAATAGGCGGCCAAACCTTGGTGTAATTTTTTGTCACGTGTTCTCTTGGTAAGTCAAGGAATATTTTATTCATGTCGAGACATAGTAGCTCGGGGACACATGTTGCGCAGTTTCGCGCAAAGGGGGTGATTCCTTTTCACAGGGGGGCCCAGTATTGTAGAGGGGGGGATATGAGGTGCGATGGCGCAGAAGCTGGTATACGAAAGACTGTAGTGAGCCCAAGCCTCACCACCGTAGCTCTGCACGACGGATTCGAACGCATAGCGTCGTGGTCATATGCGAAGATTAAGATTTCGGCAATGAGCAAGCTCCCGGCTGCTAAATAATTTTTTGTTTACTCTCTGCGGCCAATAATGCTTGTTTTTCAGCTAAGTTTTTGCTATGAATTTGTTTTTCAGAACCAGGTTGTCCTTTTTAAGTAAGTAGCCTAAATTTAGATGTACTCGGGGGCATCCCACGAAAGCCAGTATGCATCATTCCTTGCTTTCTGGCTAAGCGTAGACAATTACTGCGCGAGAATGTAGTAATGAACCAGTTCAATCCACTGTCTATGTCCCAAACTTTTTGAATGTGAATATAGCCTGACATCTACGTAAGAGTGTTACAATCGGTAAAAGATGTCCAGGTAGCACTGTCAGTCAACTTGTACAAAAAGAGTAATGCTGCAAAGGGACTCTTTCCAGTGAAGTCCTGTGGGCTGGTCTGTATATTGCACGGCTCATGGATGCTGCTCTCAGAGTGAGTGATTAAGCAGTTGTTCAAGCAACTAAGTGTTTTGTGTCCGATAAACTCCTGCACATTATTTTAACTAGATCTGAAAGTATTGGAGCCGGAGATGTAGGCCCGTGTGCTCAGATTTAGGTGCATGTTAAAAAATCCCAGGTGGTCAAACTTTCCGGAGCCCTCCACTACGGCGTCTCTCATAGTCATATGTTGGTTTTGGGATGGTAAACCCCACATATCAATCAAATCAAAATATCAAAAAAACAAGAATTTCGAATAATGTTAAGTCTCTTCACAGCAGGATATGTTCTTCTGTTACTGGGTAAAGCGTTTCTCAGTGTAATAAAAATAATGAAACGGGTTGTGCTGGCCGCCTGGCCTTGTTTGCCGTACATTATTTGTGTGCTGTTCGTGTTTGTGCGTGTGTTATTTGAGTATGTCCATTTCCATCCAGGTTCTTTTTCATGGAAAGAGAGCCATCGGAGTACGTTTCATCCATCGTGATCGGGAATTCAACATCATGGCTGATCGCGAGGTTGTGATCTCTGCTGGGGCCATTGGTTCTCCTCAGCTGCTCATGCTGTCCGGCATCGGCCCTCGAAGTGACCTGGAGAAATTACAGGTTTGTTGTAAAACCTCAGAAATAGCAGAAGGCACCAACCAAAATATATTTCGCACAAGCTAATCTGCATTATTTCAGATGGCTAATCAATCATGTAATAATCCAAGAAGAGGTTTTCACACGTAACCAATACCACACAAAACTGTTCTTATCTACGTGAATTAGTAATAAAGTCTAAATGAAAGTTATCACACCTGAAACGATTGCCCAATATGAAGGCAGTCTTACCCATTGGAAATATTTAGCACTTGGGTTGGCACGACGGAAATTGAAAGTGAGTTTCGCGTATAGGTCGTGTAGTTACAGTGAAAGCTTGAAGCATAACTCTTGCATGCATTGTAGTCTTGAATGGGGCACGTTTGTACATAGTGTCATTGAATGAAGGAAACGCTGCAACAGGACGGAAACGAGAACGAGTTAATCCTGTTTGAGCACTCTTTCTTCATTCAAATTTAGTTGCACGTGTTTTTTTTTCACTGCATATCCACCGGCACAATAATCTACTGCCAATCACACATACTAATTCAATTCACACTTCAATATATATTGCCAAAAATTTACTTACCTCTTTTCTTGGGATCCTTCTTTTTTTTCTTTATTTTTCTTTAATCCTTAATAATCCCAAGAGACGTTTTGCACCACTTGCACCTATTGGGGTGGGCTCATGTTGGCCCAATGATCAGATTCTAAAAACACGTTTACTCACAGATATGGTAAGCCTTGGTCTTATAGAATACAGCAAGCTTATGTGCTACTGAGGCACAATCCTTTTCACCCTAAGGTACATTCTTCGGGAAAATGGCCAGGTGATAACACGTAGGGGTTTAAATACTGAGTAGTGGTTCGTGAGCGTATAATTAGAGCTAGCACTCACCAACTCGACACTTGTGTAACAGCAAGACCTTGAAAAAAGTGCGAGCACGGTGTCCTTGACTAGTAAAATCTTGGATGAAAGTCTTCTTTCACCCTTGTTCTGTCTTCGTTTTCTTTTTCTTCACGAAAGCGTCGTTGAAGACTTCAAAATGAGGGTACTTCACTCACGTCCGCATCGTCAAAAAGAACAGCTATTCTCACAAGATTTCATGCACGATCAGCAGCATTACATCAAGCACACCATCGTGGAAATGGTACCATAGAAAAAGAAGCTTCAAGCCTCTATGTGCTAGTGCGAATCCCGTCAAATAACCCCCGAAGGGATCTATACAAGCTAATGTGACATATGAAAAAGCACAGTAAGGGCAACATCATAATAGTGGTTCCTGTGTTTAATGCTCTCCATGTGACTTGGGGTTGCGCGTCATGCACAACCTGCCGCAGCACCCCTACTTAAACTGCTCAATCATCCTTTGGCACTCATATAGATTGTCAATGGTATACAAAAAAACACCAGTCTGGACCGCATGTTCGTAAAAGGCCTTAAATATGAGTGGAGCTGGGAGGCCGCAAATTCGGGCAGCAACCATTTTATCACAGAAATGACCATCCTATGCCACAAGTTGTAGAACAAGATCAGAAATTTCAATATAGCAGACTACCAAGTCTTTCGCGAAGACGGTAGCGCCGTAGGTGGCACGACATCATAGAAACACTGGACTCGAGGAGTCAGGGAAGAAGCGCAAAAGCACACAAGGACAATCAAATCATCGCGATACAACCCCACTGTCAAGCCGTATCTAATTCCTCTGTGGGGGCCGTGGAGGAGTCGCGCGAAGCACTGGCAACGCAAAAATGAAACCGCAAACTGAAGAGTGGAATATTCTAGATCGTCAAGGAGGCGTTAGGGTACCCTGAACGATTAGAAAGAAAGAACTGGCATGACACTCCTAACAAGTTTCAAGGAGCCCTATGCATCAAGCGTACCTCGGTGTTCCTCAAAATCTGTTCTTGCCACGTACACGTAAGAGGCCAATAGCGCAGCAAAACAACGTACACAGGTTCATGCGCAACCACCCAGGAGAAGCGGGATGCATTGTCAAAGAACTGAAGCTGGCCTTCCTTGGTATGCAGCGGGGCATCGACTTTCACCCGCGCTTTGACATGCATCGAAGTAGCTCAAATATAAAACTGTATCGCCCAGTCACGGTAGCAAAAAGAGAAGGTCCTCAGCAAGCTTACCCACCTCATTGCACCGGGCAAAGACTGAACAACATCCCGGAATCTAGATGAACCTATTGTACACGCACTTTCAAAATATAACAGACTGCTTATACAATGGTAAGGTACCGCCAGAATAGAAACATGTTGATGTAATCAGAAAGTTTATGGGCATTTTTCCTTTACAATTCTTAAACTTGAAACAATATTCCTGAACTCGAGTGCTGAAAAACATTACGACCACATGGTGTACAACCGCATGGTCTGTCGTGCAGCGAGTGTCGATCTAGCAGCGTAGCGATTGTACATTCAGCGAGTGCCGCGTCATTCTTTTCTCCTGGTTTTGTAACTTTTCTTTGGCAGGCACAAAACGCAGGGGCGAGAAAGCGACAGACGAGCGCGAGCTTTCAACACGCGAACAGAAATGATTGCGCTATGAATAATAAAAAAACTCCTTATCTGTTAGGGCCACCCAAGGTTGACTGATGCATTTTTCGTGCGCCTGTATGTGCAAGTCTTCCCTGTGTTCACGTGTTAGTTTGCCTTTATGTACAAACAAGATATCTGTATTATGAAATGCAGGATCACAATATCATGATTTAGAATGATCAGACAACTGTGAAAATGTTTGTTTTTCTCGTGAGTTCGCATGCTCTTTTAACGTGTATTGATACGGCGGCCAGTATGTCCAACGTACGCATTTCCACAATTTAGCAGCATACAAAGTACCACCCCTTAACGTCATTTCGCTAACTTAGAATATTCTTTACATGCGAAGTAGCTCTTCGACTAGCCTGCATAACACTGTCCCTCCGTGCGTTTGTACGAATGTGCCGAAACGCGCTCGCTTCGCTCTAGGCGTTGGGGTGGCGCCAAGAAGGTCACTTTGAAGCCGCACGTTAACGTCACGCTCCCCTCACAGTACGTGCTGACGTCACACTCTACTTCGCCTGCTGCGTGCTCGCCGCAGCGCCCATAGCTGCCGCCTCGTCCGATCACCCCGAACACCCGCCGCTACCGCCACTCACTTCGCCTACCGCGACTGCCGTCACTACGCCACCGAATCGTTGCTTCATGCGCAATAAACCTGACACGTGCCTAACGTGCCACGTGTACGTGTTACCCGTCCAACGGTTCATTCTCTCTACAACACGCATCGTCAAGCACCCATCGAGTAGTAACAATCTTTCGGCTCGTTTACATGCGATTGAAAGGACGCCGACAGACGATGCTCCTTCGTTCACTGAAATATCCCATACTCAGCGTGGAATCCACTGATCAAAAGGCCATGGTTGTCCAGGCGAAGCGTGCGCAAGCTCCAGTCCAGCACCCGTGTCCACTGAAGAAACAAGACCAACGCCAGCCATCGCCTAAAACAAGTCTTCCATCGCCACGACACCACACGTGCGCAACGCTGCTGCTTCGCATCCCAGGATTCCCGTAGGGAACGTGGTGTGAATTTTTCGCCACAGCAACATTTTATTTACCTTGATTTATACTTTTGCCAAGTGCTTGGCAAAAATCTCGTGTCATAATAGGGCACTAAAAACAACGCCATTGTCATACTTCCCTGATACTTTAAGATTATAAACTATGGCAGAACCGCACATTGCTTTTTATCTTCACTGAAGCGTTTCATTGAAGTTTAGTATCGCATGCTCTTTAGGTGAACATGAAGCGTGTAGAAGGAGTAGTAAGGCTTGGGAAATACTTCGTTCCTGAGGCAGGTTAGCAGCTTCTGCCATTTGGACCCAAGCTTGTTTTGGAGTCACAGTTGTGCGCACTTGCAAAACTTGCAGCATCGAGAATTAATGGCCGCTTTCGCTTTGTTCTTGAAAAAGAGCAAGTTGCCTTTCTGAGTGGGTAGACGACACGAGGAAGTCCAAATAATTCCTGTTGACTCCACCGGGTAGCGAGAGATCATGTGTCTAGGGGTTTACGTACTCTGACCGCTAATAAAGAGGTTGCTTGGTAAGTTTGCCTGATAAGATGTCTAGCCGAAAATTCTGTGAAGCCATTAAGAAAAGCTTCAAGAGTCAATGTAAAACCGCCAAAAGAAAAAAAATGCCTCCCGTCTGATATATCGTAGATTATCAGGTGCACGCGCCGAAGAACATACCGATAACACGTGCCTCCACCCCTCGCCACGGCGCATGCTCCGGCCTCGGGCCAGGGTATTAAAACCAAGACAGCAGCCTCGTGATAAAAGATTGTTCCTTCTTGTTCTGGCCATGCATCGTCTTATTCTTCGCCCTTACGATACTACAGTGGCGACGAGGATGGGATCCGGTTAATTGCACTCCGACGCTGAGACCAGAAGAATGGGATCCCGACCCCCTGCCTTCGACGACGCCGTGAGTAGCTGGAGCACGTATCGTGTCCGCTTGGAAGCCTACTTTGAGGGCAACGATATTACCGACGTAGCGAAACGCCGGGCCCTACTGGTTTCATCGTTGAGCGACAGTGTCGTCCGGATATTGCAAGGGCACCAGCCGGGGGTCGCCATCAACTCCTTGACGTACGATGACGTTGTGAAATGCTTGGAAGAACATTTCAACCCTCAGGCAAACGAAATAGCAGCAAGCTATTCTTTCTTTATGCGAAAACAAGATGAGCAAGAAAGCGTCCGGGACTACATTGCTGAACTGAGAAGACTGGCCGTAAATTGTAATTTCGGGGCGACACTGGACCGTATGTTGCGGGACCGAATCGTTTGTGGGATTCGGGATGAGGAAACGCGCCGGTGCCTGCTGGGCAGCAAGAACTTGACTCGTGAAGAAGCCGAAGAATTCGCCTTAGCTTCTGAGAAAGCGAACGAAGACGCTCGGGGCATGCGTACTTCATACGCCCGGACCGAAGGTGGCGGCGTCAACGTGATACAGCAACAAGGCAGACAGTGGAGGAAG